TTATGTTTTGAAATACTCCTGAACTATATAACTTGTGATATTTTGAAAACAATTTTAAAACCTCACAACCATTTGAAATGTTTTGAAACATTCCTGAATAAAAATCCAGTTTCAGCATTAAATAACCCACAAGGGTTGATATGCTGATAAAACAAATAAACAATCAATCTGTATGTATAGGTTTAGGAAAATTAATGACAAAGTGGAAAAAATTTTATGTGGCATGTTTAATCCTTTGGGACTTCATCAGACTAAAGTGATGTTCTGTTGGCAGGTAATGTGCAAAAATGTCAGTTGTAATTATGCACAAATAGGAAATGTTGGAAATCTACATTTTTAAAAAAAAATTTTTATAGACGTTTCTGGGCATATAGTCTAGATAATTTCCTTTGGTTTTCATTTATGTTCTTATCAGTTTTGTTGAGCATCCCATATTATGATAATAGAAAATCTGCCAAGAAAATTGAAATATTGTAAGGACCTGGACACAAATTTACTGTAGATGATGTATAGGTTTTCTATAACTTCCAAACAGGCCCATTTTCAATTTTTATGATAGGTTTAGTTTTTGTATAACAGTATTTTTCCAACATCCCTTAAGCTTCAGGGCTGTCACACAAAAAACTGAATATTGATAGCTCATGTCCCTAGTGTGTGTTCCAGGGATATGAACCTGGGATAGTTCAGGTTAAACTACAATATATCACAAGGCTAGCAATAAAGGAACATCAAGTCACTGGCAATATCATAGGAAATGAAGTTTATATCAAATCAGACTGAAACAGAGTACTGCTTCCATATATGGGCTGGTGTTCCAGTCTTGATAGTGTCCAAGAGCATTTATATACCCTTGTGGGTGATGAATTGTTTTCCACTCTACAACCCCTTTTCCCACAGACAAAATGTTGCAAGACACTCACTACTCTACTGCTATTTCCATGGAAAATGTTCAAATGAAATACATTCTTTAGTTCCCCTAACACTAACCTTCCCAGCTAGGACCAGCCACATACATTGAGGCAAACCACGCTCATCCCCTTTGTAAAGAGCAAGTTCCACTTGGATAGCTTCTTTCCAAGAATGGTTGTTTTGTGGAACAGAATCCCAGGAGGATGCTCTCCTGAACTGCACTCCCTATCCTTACTGCTCACAGTAACCTTCTACTTTGAGTGGCCTTTGGGCCTTGTATAGAGTGAATATTAGTATATATAATTTAGGTTTTCTTGTATAATAAAGTGTTTTCATCACCTGACACCCAGCTTAAGCTTCAGGGCTGTCACACAAAAAGTACTGAATACTGACAGCTTATATCACCAGGATGTGAGAGAACTTGGGATGTATGGTCAGCCTAACATTGATATTAATTCACACTTCTAAGAAAGAAAAAAATCATAACAGAATCTTATTTCCTGTGAACAAAGTTAAGAAGAAATTAATGTTGTATTTGACACTTTAAGATAATACAGATATCTTTAAAAAGGTCTTTTTTTTACTTTTTTTTTCCTTTATCTTTTTTAACTTCAGCACCTGAATTTCTTTGGTCACTTCATCATAGTGTAATAGTCAGCAAATTGAGTTTGTAGTCTTTATATGCAAGTTCAATGTTCACTGGGTATCCCATATTTGTGTCCTTAGGTCAAAACTAAACAAACATTAATAAATAGCATTTTCATCTTTTTTAATGTTGAATACTCAAGAATAACTTTTAGTTGATTTTAATTCATATCTTTTTATATTTATGTATTTAAAATGGTTAAATTATGGCCAGTCTATTGGTTTCTTACATAAAAAAACTATTTAGTTATTTCGTTTTATACTATGACAAACGTAATGAAAATTAATATTTGCAAAATCAATCTGAAAGTGCATTAGAATAACAAATGATGGTTTCCAGAAGCAAAACAATGGACTCGGAAACAAGAAATTTTTGTTAACAAAGAAAAATGTGCTGAATTACTACGTAATATCAATCCTCTTATATGACAGTGAATGCTGGACAATTTCTTGTCCAGCATTCATTGATGAAGAGCAGATTTGAGGCAACAGATGTGGTACAAAAGCTAAGCCTTTTGGTTTCCTGCAAGAGAAATTGTTTAAATTATTAATTTAGGCCTGAAATCATATAAAATAGAAAACAGTTATGAATAGAAAATTCTTAATCTTAGACTGGAAGTGATTTCCAATACATTTGTCATCTCTTGTGACATATAAACTAGTTTAAGGGCCAGACGAAATTTACTTATTTTCTGCTTTTATCTCGATAAAATTTGTTTTTGTCTATCCCTCATTCCTACTACCCTTCCCTGGTGGTGACAAGTGGAACAGCATGCTAACTAACACTGACTAAGGAGAGACCAAAAAAAAAAAAATTAAATTATATTCTTTTTAAGATAGTCCATCCATGCATAAAGTTCCTCTCTCATCTTTCCTTCCTTTTACTCTCCACTGTTGAGGTCATTTTTTTTTCCTGACAAGAGCTGTCAAGTATGACTTTGTTTTGTTTTCAGCATAAAAAAGAAAAAAAAACTTGAAGCAATCATTACTATTCACTTCACTACATTAACCAAAGTTCACCCCTTTTGTTTCCTTCCTAATTCTTTTCATTTTTACTTGTTTGTTTTTCACTACTTGCTATGGATGGCTTAATCAGAAGCTAATTTTTCAAATAGGATCACAAATACATAGTGCACACACACACACATATATATATATATATATATATATATATATATATATATATAATAAAAATTCCTATATGTGTGTATATGTATATAGGCTTTGAGTTCCATGAAAAGCTGACATGAAATGGGAGTCCTCAAGGAACTAGTTTTGGGAGTTGTAATTGTAGGTGTATCTGAGGAAATTAACGAGGAGAGACAGAAAGAATATGCCTTAAATTTTCTAAGTTGTACTGAAAATAACCTGCTTTTGTCCTGAAAATTTATGTCAAGGGCTGTAATATTGGAAAACACTCGGGCATAATGAAGCCGTAAATTTAATGTTTCAAATAGCATACTTTCTTCAAAATGAAGAATTCATAATTCTACAACCCAGCCAGGCATCATTCGGTGTTCAAAATAAGCATTCACATCCAGCACTACTGTTGACACCATTATTTTTCTTCACTTTGAGCCATCCTGGGTAAGACGATAAACTACATCCAATAGCAAGGCCTCTGATCAGGTCCACCTTAACCCAGGTTGGTAGCACATGTTGGGGTCCCAGCTATGGGTAAATAGTCAACCCCGAAACTGAGTTAAAAACATTATAAAAGTGTAAAAATAAGTTTTAATACCAGAAATACTTTGTAAAACTTATTACCAGAAATAAATTTTCAGCTATACGTTTTTGAGGAAAAAAATATCAACAGAAATAGATTTTTGACAAAACAAAAATATTACCAGGAAAAAAAAAAGTTCTTGGCATTAAATGACCCATTGAGGTTGATATGCCACAAAACAAACCAAACCAATCTTTAATTTGAGGTGTAATAAAATAATTTATTTGATAAAATATGATATCTATATATTTACTGGAAATGTAACCTGAAAAAGTGGTGTTATAGATAGTGGCTCAGATTGAGGAATCAGAGAGCCGAGTTTGAATTCCAGTTGAATCCATTACATTCACTTACATGCTAATACCCTTGGGAAAGGTATGAATCCTCTTCTTCCCCTAGCTATGGGTAAATAGCAGGACAGACTGGGTTCTATAGCCTTGGATGGCAACTAGTCTGGCACAGAAAGAAATGGCAACCTACTGCAGGAAAAAATCTGCCTTGTCAGTTATGTATTGAAAGATACATGATTGCCTAAGAGTGAATCACACATGGTCACACATGGGACTGACTGAGCCTGAAACTCTATACTTTAAGGGACTATGGGTTCATTAGTAAGACTTGTATCACTAAACTATTATTATCTCCAAAACAAAAAGTCTGTTACATTCAGGTTGTACTAAAGCCCTTGGAAAATCTATTCTCTCACTCAGCTATTGGCTGAATAGCAGGACAGACTAAGCTCTTGCATTTTAGGCAGCAACCAACCTAAGAGAAAGACCCTTTCTGAATTTAAAATAATGAAGGGAAGGGTAATCACTCAACTGTTTTTCATAGCAACTCACAGGTATTAAAGAAAAATAAAATGTGGAGGGACATGTCATTTAAATTTTCTTTTTCTATACAAATCTTTCTTTGAAAGTCCATGAATAGAACTTGAAGTAGCTAGACATTCTGGGTTTTTAGTGACTTTTATAAAACAATATATTGTGATAATAAAGAGTTAATCTTTCAAGAGACAAAGCCACAACCAGTATTGGAGCTCCTCAAATACTTAAAAACATTAGAAAAACATTTTTTTTTTTTATTTTATTTATATGAGTCTAGGGTGAAGGATTTTTTTTTTTTGCTTTTCATTTTGTGATAAGCTAGAGATAGATCTTATTATTCTGTCAGTTCTTCTTTCCTAGCCAAACGAGATTGTCATCTTCACATGCCTTCAGGCTGGGGAAAACATTTGTTGACTCAATTTCTGTTCATAGCTTTCTTTTTCTCCCCTTTTTTTATTCACTTAATTTTTTTTTTTTTCCTTCAAGTTTATATACTAGAAAATATTCAGATGTTTCTTTTCTCCCTGCCCACCCTGCTTCTATAGTGATATGTGAAAACTAACAAGGTCACTCAGTATTGTCTGGGATAAAGAAATTTACAATCTCATTGTCATGCCTTCTAATTGTTTTATATTACTGACTATTCCCTCCACCAACTATTATTGTCTATGTAACTCACAGCTGACACTAAGTGACTGGTTTTATATAAATTACTTAAAATGATATCTGAAAGTTCACAAAGTATATTGCCAACAAAACCCCATTTTACAAATTTCTGTCTGAATTTCTGGGATGAGCAGTTATTGTTACTTAGATTTTGTCCATTGTCCTCATCTTTGTTATTACTACAACATTTCAGCTGTTGTGCAGGTTTATGGTCACATTACATTGAAACCATTTCCTGTATGATCACTGAAGTTAAGCAACACTGAGCCTGGTCAGTACCTAGATGAATGACTGCTTGGGAATACCAGGTGCTGAAAGTTTGGATTGTTAATCAGAGAGCTGAGTTCCAATTCCCACTGGATTTCTTATATTCACTTACATGCAAATACATTTTGGAAATCTACCTCTTCTCCCTCCAGCTATGGGTTAATTAGTAAGACTTGTATCACTAAACCATTATTATCTTACAATCTAAAAAAACATTTTCTGGCTTTAAATAACCTGCAACAGGTTGATAATCCACAGAATATGAATCAGTTAATCAGATGTTGTGCACCTGATGTTGGCCAGATGGCACAACAGATGAAAGGATGTTATAATAACAACAAAGATGAGGACAATAGTCAGTATTAATATTTTGGACTAGTAGGAAATAATATCAGATATAACCATTGGATCCTTACAAGTTATTTTGTTTACATTTTGGATACAAAAAAGAATGAACTGATATGGGTATTTGAGAAGATCAGAATGAGGATGTTGCACATTCTTCAAAAAGGTAATTAAATGTTATATACAAATGCATGTCCTGTGATGCTCTCTGTAACTGAGCAGTCTAAAACATGCCAGATCAGACAATGGTTTCTCCTACAAAGGGGAATGCAGGTTCAAACCCAGCCAAAGTACATATTTTCTTTATTAAAGTCTCTTGAATGTGCAGGTTAGTAGATGTAATAGTTTTTTTTTTTTTTAAAAAAAAAAAAAAAAAAAAGAAAGCAGGGCATCTACTCAAACACGGGTATCCACAAAATAACATTTGGAGTAATAGGAAGCAATAGTCCAAGTGTAAATTAATGTAAATACTTTATACAAATTTTTTTATGCTTTTACTCTCCATAACTAATCTGTATATGCTAATTATACACTTGAAACATTAAAATATTTGTTTCCTGTTTATACCAAACTATGGTTTATACTGCAGCTATGTTGAGCTGACGTTACTTACAGTTTCTGGAGAGAGTGCATAATCTGGCATGATCAACAGTCTGAAAAGCCTGTACATTCAAACCCTCCTGAACAGTTTCATCTACCCTATTTCATTCACAAGGCATGGGTCAGCCTGTAGTTATCAGGCACTTCCCAATAGTATTGCAATCTGGAATCATCTCTCCAGGCCAGTATTATTGTTACCACCTTGGCAAATTGACCCTGGTGAGATTCAGTCACATGGTCAGAATGCTAATGTTCTAACTGCTCAACCACGTGTGCACTGAGACTCAAATATAATTTGTTTCAGTATTAAATAATCCAAAAAGTGTTGGCATCTCATTAAATCAACCAACCCAAAATTCTGTCTGAAAGTTATAAGCCATCACTTTTTCATTTCAGCAACCTGGTTTATATTCCATACAACAAAATCAGCTCATTTCCACAGATTAGAATACATTCATTGCACCTCAGACAGCACATGACCAGGAAAAAAAACTTTCACAGTAAATCAACAAAAAAAAAAATACTGAAATTTAAAATCTTTTTCATTCTCACACAAAAACTTGATTATAATTGTTGAAAATGAAGCATCTTTTTTTCTGTTGCAATGGTTTTTGACAAAAAACCAAACTGTAGAATCTTTTTGTGATGTTTTAACTGAGCTGAACATTTTAAAATATTAACAATAATAATTAAATGTAGACGAGCTTTTTGCTTTTATTTTTTTCTTTAAAAAGTGATAATGTGTGTTAAAATTGTTTCTGTCACAAGGCAAATTGAGTTAGCACTTACCCAGGTTGGAATAGTCTCGAATGTTGTCACAGCTGTTCTTTTGAATTTAATTAAATGCATATTTCTTTGTCTCTTGGGTTCAAAACATCGCAAATGTTTGTTTTTATATATCGTATAAAAACCTGTATATAACACAAAATGTGTGTACACTCAAGTTCTAAGACAACAAATAGTGTTTAAAACAATTTTTATATCTGTCTATGTTTCTGAGATAAGGTATTGTAATTATTTAGACTATTTATATTGTTTGGACTGTTGTCCTCATCTTTCTTGCTACATTCATGATGTTTCAGTCATTGTATGCTCCAGCTGTGAGTTCAAAAACCTGGTTACTGCAGTGGTGAATAAAAACTTGGAGAATTGATTTAAAGGAAGATGACAGTGATATCCAAAAGAGGCATGGCACATGGAACTAGAACAACCTACTCTGGTGGACGAAATGAAGGGTTCCATTTGAAATTCCAATCACCTGAAGAAGACAAAAACATTGACTATGGTAACAAAGTTGATGACAAGTCTGAACAATGTGAATAGTGTAAATAGTTACAATTGTTACTGAAACAAATAACTTGTATGTTTTTAATCATGACATACAGGTAGTGTAGTTGCTAGTGACTTAGAAAGAGAAATCAGCATGCAGAGTTCAAATTCTGAGCTTGTCATGCTCACTTTTGAAAAAATACCTTGCGAGTTAGAAATATATCTCTTCTCCCACAAGCTAAGAGTTAAATGGTAGGACTGACTGGGCATTTTGATGTGACAACCAGTTTAGGAGAAGGAAAACTTAACCTTTAGCTATCTTGCTACAGCTGAAGCACATGTGGTGTCCCTACAACATTAATGGCGCATGGGACTCATAACCTTGGTTAATCAGGAGATGCTTAGTTAATGCTAGCATGGTTACCTGGAGTTATAAGGGTTAAAATAGTTTCCAACATTATAGTTAACCTTTGACTGTTAAGCAATTACATTTTCTGTTTAAGATAAAAAGGAAAAGATTTGGTGAATATGATAAATTCACAGGAGTTTTTTGTTCGGATTTGAAATTGTTAAATTTGACAGATTTCTCTGCAGTTATTAGTATTATAGTTATTTGTGTTATATTTGTTTTAAAAAGTTTCAGTAGACTGACATTTTTTTAATTTGATTTCTTTATTCATAGTTCTTTCTAAAGATCTGATCTTCAACAATGGTACTTTGAAATTCAATTTAATTTTGAAACAATGGGATATATTCTCCATCTTTATCAACTTAAGTTATAAAGAGTGTCAAAAATTTGAGAGATATAGTTTAATAAAAAAAATGTCTCCTATTTCTGTATGAATGGCCAGAGATAATAGGAAACATTTTTAACTCTACTGTATCACTAAAAAAAGTGATACTGAAAAGTTGACACCAAAGGCTCATATACATACATCATATATATTTCCTATACATACATACATACATAGGATGGGTTTGCTGAAATTCCCATCCACTCATATATACCATTCCAACATTTGTTTACTGAATATACACATCCATATATTGTTGCGGTGATCTTTCAATGTCTATGCAACTCATAAAGCAATAAAATAAGATTTCTTTGATTACAACCTCATTTGCCAAAAAACTATAAACAAAAGTAAAGTTCTCTCTCGACTGACTTATAGAATTTTGTCTATTTAAGCAGCAAATGTTTTTTAAGGCAACTATTTCTAAAAGCAGATATTTTGTCTCTATTAATTTTACTGATTAACTTTCCCAAAATATGAATATCCTTCTCAGAAAAGGGGAAATTCTGCCAGAAATTTTCCAAAGTACATTTCAGAAGAAAAGTACAAGGAATATAGTCCAAGCATTCAACTAAAGTTATCATCAGGGTAGATAGACAATTGGTGAGTTTCATAGAACTATTGAGTTTTGTGATGCAGGCAAAGAGCATTGTGATGTTTTTATATATAAATTTGTTTTTATTTATTGATGACTGTTTTTGTTGTATGAGTATTGCTTCAAGGATCATATCTATTTTTGCTATTTGATTTTACTAGTATTTTGGTATTGTTTGGGAGTAGCTGTTTAATGTTCCTATGATCCTTATGCTGCTTATTAATGTGTTGTTTGATGGCACTACGATCAGATAGGTGACAAGTGATTTTATCTGAGTGTGGTCAACATTCAGAGGCTCCGAGTGTTGACTTCAATGTTCACTTTTATATTTACATATGCTCTCTCATATTGAGCACTGTATCCCATAAATACAGCACACCTTAAAACTATATTTCTTATATATATATATGTGTGTGTGTGTAAAATGCAAAATCTTTTTACATTCCCTTTAAGCCCTGACCTCTGCTTTACTGGTGGGTAGAGAAAAATGACATAATGCCTAGCCACCGGTTGAATGGTAGTAAACTATTTTTTATATCTACCATAAAACATTACATATCAATTATTTGCAAATTTTGACTCGGGAGCTCAGGCAGAAGGGTTAAAATTGTTCAGGAATAGAGGGCTCAAAACGTTAAACCACCCACAATAAATAGAACAAAAAATTTTTTTCGTTTTCTTTACCCCTCTTTTGATAAATATTAGTGTGAGTCGAGTACCATTGAAGCATTCAACTCTGAATGGATTTGTGAAAAAAAAAATCAGATTTTTAAATATAGAGGCAAAAATATGATCAAATAATAGAAACCTTTTTTCTTTTTTTAAGTCTGTAGCAAACAGCAGGGTTATTTTCCAGGAAAGAGAAAAGTTTTAAATATAAATCCTTCCTTTCTTCCCCCAACCCACTTCATAAGTTTTAAAGAGTTGCAAAGCAAGCATCATTTTCTAAATCTCTGTGGAAATAAAATTGAGACAGAGGTGGTAAGTGGAGGAACCAGATCCGTGAGATAAGCTAAGCAGAGGTAAGTTTAAAAACAAAAAATATTCACGGGTTGGTAAGATAAAAACGTAGCTTATTTAATTTTAAAATGTAATCTGATTTCCTTGTTAAGTTACCCTTTCCAATAGATTTTAAGGCAGCAGGTGCATTTTTATATATATATATATATATATATATATATATATAGTGTGTGTGTGTCTGTCTTTCTCGTACGAACGTGTTCATGGGTTTTTTTTTATGATGAATTTTTATATAGTATGCTAGATCCTCTGTAGGGGTACAAAAGGCTCCCATGAAAGCGTAAATATGTTGCATCTAAAAGTTGTGAATTATATTTTTTGCATTACTTATAGGGCCAAGGCTTCGCACTGCTTTCTACAGCAATATGGTGATGGAACTAGCTAAATTTTGTTACTTCACCATATACATGTGTGGTACAACTTATT